GCCCTACTCTCACAGTCACACGATAAGGATCTGCCATTCTTTTCGGTGACTAGTAACCCTACCCGAGGCATAGGGATAAGAATAAAGAGGCTACCCAAGAAGTGGGCACACTAACCGGACCCTGGCTGCATAGTGCCCAATGGACAGTGGAAGCACTCTTGTCCTATCCTTATCCGTGTGGCTCAAGTAATAGCTATTATTGCCTTCCCTTGCCCCCTCCTATCCTCTGTGGGTCTTGGGCTATATACTCGAAGGTTCAAGAACTATTGCCTGTGTAACTTGCTTCCTAGGGATGGTTATTGAGTGACGATGATGTATCCTCTCACTTTGCCGAGGATTATCCCCGATGGTACTGGCCAGCTTAGCTCTCAAAATTTTAACCCTGTTTTATGCTTGCTTCAAAGTAGAGAATTCCCAGGCTTATTGCTTTCTAGGTAAAACAATGGCGAGGAAGATAAGAATATGCTAAAAGTAGATGATATTTTCTTCGCCCATGGCAAATCCTACAGACAATATCTACTGAGCAGTGGGATACTCATAGCGATAGTCACGCCGTCAAAACGTCAATGCTCAAAGGGTATCTAACAAAACCTCATTGACCTTGCATTCTCTTGAAGCGTTCCTCCGCAGCCCTCGCTCTACGCTCTCTCTCCAATCGCATCCTCATCTCAGGCGTCATACCTCTAGTCTCCTCATCTCTCCTTTCGGCTGCAGACTTTTCAACAGCTCCCACCGTACGACCGCCAGATTTAGTCGTTCTCGGCCGCGCCGCCTTCTCAGCCTCTTCACGTTTCAGGCGATCCAAGCTAGCCTTACGCCGGGCGGATTCTTCCTCTGCGGCAGCTTTGCGTTCTTTCTCAGCCCGGCTGTCAGCGTCAGCTTTGGAGACCGCTGATGGCACCTTGGCTGCTTCCCAGTCCCATTTTGACTCGCCGAGATCGTGGCGAGCAATGCGGAAGGCGTCGCGCGTGGCTCGGTCACCGGTGAGTTCGAATGGAGTTCTGCCTTCATTATTTACTGCCGTTGGATCAGATCCAGCTTTTGTGAGGAGGGCTGTGACTACGGCTGGTGCGTCGAGATTTGCAGCGAGGTGGAGGGGTGTGGGGCAGCGGAAGTTTTGTGGCGAGTCGGCAGGCGTAAAGGTGAAAGAAGAAGGTATGGAGTTGTTTGTGATATAGGACATAAGGGCGGGAACCTTTGAGCGGCGAATGAGTGCCTGCAGTTGGGATGTGTGCAACAAGGCAGCTTCCTCTTCTTTTGAGAGTTTCGGCTTCTGGGGCTGCAGTTTTGGGACAGGCGTAGATAGTTTTGATTCCTCCTCTCGTCGCTTGGCCTCAGCCGCAGCCAGTGCAGCTTGGTCCACCTCGCTGACCTTCAATCGGGTTAACTCCTTGAAGGACCGCATGAGCTCCCCTTGAGTCGCACGGCGAGTATTGAAGGGGAACCCTCGTATACGGGGATCGTTCTGCCTGAGGACCTGTCCGTCATATTGGCCGAAAAGAGTCTTTCGATTTGTCTTTCCCGTAGCTCGAACGAACAACAGCTCGGCTGTGTCAATCATCTCTCGCCAGTCTGACAACACCTCTCTGATATCCTTCTCAAGTGCAGCCTCGTTGTACCGGCGCAGACTTGAACCTGCCGAATGGGCAGCACCGCGCGACGCATCACTTGCAGATTGTGAGCCACCCTGCTTTCGCCGCGTAGTGTATCGGTGGAACGTTTTGTGCGCAATGACCCGAGCCTGTCGGTCTTCAACTCCTCCTTGCTTTCGGTGGATCTCCGGCGCTAGCGAAACCACCATAGCCGCAAAGTGGCCACCGCCGATCATGCACATGAAAATGTGCGGGCCCGAAGCAGCGGGATCTGGCGCGTTACTTGCCTTGTTGGTGCGCGCTTTGACTGGCGCAAGCTGCTTTCGTCGCAGAGTATCAACCAAGTGGGCGGGCTCGTCCTGCTCAACGTTTGAGAAAATGGCCCTGTAGACGCCTAGGGACTTGTTTGATGGCAACCCCGAGCTAGATAGCCAGAATATAGGGTTCTTCGGGGTGATTGGTGTCTCGGTCATTTCCGGGTCCTCATTTGGGTGGGATAGCTTGGCCTGCTTTTTCAACAGGGCGGACAACGTTGTACCCGCGGCGCCCTCTGTATCCTCCTCCTCTGTCTCCGAGGACTCAGAACCAGATATAGACTCGTCTAGCTCTCCGATTGCCTTCGCAAATTCGGTTTCCTCTAGAGGCGCATTCCCCCGCAGCTGGGCTTTGATATTATACCGGTGATGGTCCGAGCGGACATGGCTGCGCTGTTCCTGTACATTGTTGTAAGAGACCTTGCAGAGGGAGCATAGGTTGGAGGTTGCGATCGCAGAGTCCTGCGCCGCTAGTTCGAGGTCTATCGAAGAGGGTTCGGGTTCTTGTTCAACGACAGGTTGGTTTGCGGTCTTGGCCGTTAAGCTTGCAAGAAGTTCTGGTGGCAGGTCGTACACTGGAAAGATCAGCGAAATGGATCAACGGCGATATGGGGCTTCGGAATCGTACCATAGAGAGGCCTTTTCAGGAGCTCCTCCATTTGAGTCATGTCGACCATGATGAGCTGGGCGAAGAATGTGTATTGAGACTGTGGTACCCCTCCAATGACGCTGATAAGTGGGCTCTTACCGCCTAAGAGCAATGCGGGCACTATGTGGACTATACGCGCTGAGCCGTCGCTTTTATGTCTAGATGCTGAATCTGCAATAATTTTGAGTCATGATTTGAAGTTTACTCAGCCTCATTTAGGATCTCGAGAACGTTCTTTTTCCATGAGTAATTCTAAGGCTTGTGCCCAGGTGGGTCGTGCTCGCAAATATCAACGAGTCGGCCTCCCGATTAGGAAATTACACCCATAGACACTCTTTTCTGTGCCCTATAGCATCATTCATGACAACCCTTCTTCTCTCTAGCCCTACATATGCATAGCTATGTACTTTGTATACGCTTTGCATTTTTTTGTCTTCTTTTTTTTCTGGCTTGTTGTGATCACATGATTTGGCGATAAGATTATGTGTTATGACGTCACACCAGTCTACTTCTGCTTATTTCCGGCTTCACATCTCAATGACCATCTCGAAGTTCATATTACAGATATCAACTGGCTTTTTCTTTTCTTTTAGTGTTTTCGTAATAGCATCACTTGTTGAGGTGAGGCTGGGAATTGCGGTTGCTGGCCAAGTGTCGGAGTATCCAATAGTGGTAGAAATACTTGAGGGTGAGCAGGTTGTCGTGGAAATAGTGGAATTTTCAGTTATGGGATCCTTAAAGGTGCCATTAATCGCTTCGACATCATCCGTATCAATTTTATCCGAAACGCGCTCGAACCTTTCGTTGAGACAGGACCATGTGGTTGTGATGTCTCCAATGGATTCCATTAAACCTCTCTTTCTTTTTCTTTGCGCCACATTTCGAGGAGACGACAAAAGACCACTTAGACCAGATGTGAGATCTTGAATCTCATTCTAAGCACTTTGACTTGATGAAGGGTTAATGATCCAAGTGGAGTCTGGGGCTGTAATGTGGGAGAATGCAGCGGACACATTCAATGCTGCTTCGGGGCTTGTGGTATTGCTTGTAACTGGTGAAAAGTATATTGGGAAAGAGTATGATACTTCTGTTAGGATAAGTGTTGTCAGAGGTTTGCAAGACTCGAGAATATGCTAATGTTTCTCACCCCTTGTAGCGGTGACTAGGATTCCTCCACTGCAGAAATATGGTAAATTCTAAGATAGAAAAACCTGTGGACTTTCTACCCAAGCCAGATAGTAGTGTTGTTGTGGAGGAAACAATGTTCTCAGTGTTGATACTTGCTGATGAGGTCTCACTCGGTAATGAAGCAAGTGTGTTGCTCTTACTGTTCAGACAATGTAAATTTAAAATTCGATACTTTTGGTTCTAATTGAAAAAGTGGCGGGAGAACACCTTGTGAGGGTAAAGGGCAAAGTGCGCTCCTAGTATCACTGATGCTCAAAGGGTAATTATATGATAGGGACTAGGCTATCATGTTGAAAGAGCCGCCTGCAAAGTTGCTGTTGGAGACAATGACAACAAAGCTTGTTTGCTTGTGCTTAGATACAATGGTATTGTGAGCATTGTTATAAATGCAACTTCCTATCAATAAATGGCTAGTGGGCTTTTTGCCTTGATTTATAGACAGTTCAGTCTGTTTTTGACGATAAATGGTATGCCATTAAAGTCAGAAATGAAGAGTCTATGTTGACAGACCCATCTTACCAAGTAAATAATTGGAGGATGAGCTTAAATATGAAGTAGAACAAAGATGACAAGAATATACCTAATCATCAGCATGACCAACTGCGGATTCTGTGTCGATGGATCAATTGAGTTTTGAGTTAGATCAAAGAATTGAATGCGGCAATGACCAGAAAAATATGTGTTCTATACGTATCTACAAGCACCGTATTTTCCCTGTGATAAATTGTCTGCCTCACGATATTTCGTAGGCGATGCTCTACGGGCCCCACGGACTCCGCGGGATCCGCGGGCACCGACTTACAGGAAGGCTTCTAATCGGCCACAAATTCTTTGTCCACAACTTGCTCGAGTTCTACTTGCGCATATTTTTGCTACTATTGTTCAATTTTCTATGAAACATGCCTGGGAACTCCGAGCATTCCGAAGATGATACTTCCCTACATCCGGGACGGGCAGTAGGAGCTCCACAAATTTAGCAAGTTGATATGGAGACTAACTTCTAAGTGTGATCGATGTCGCAAACGAAAAGTTCGAAATTGGTCTGCTACATATATTATATGTCGCAGTTTCTAACTTAAAGTATCAGATACGTTGCGATAAGACGTTCCCTTGTTCAAATTGCCGATGCGTGGGATCAGACTGCAAGGCATCCAACCGTGCTGCTAGACAGAAGAGGTCGCGAGTTTTGATATCATCTCAATTGTTAGCTCAAATATATCTAATGATGTAGTGTCGTATGCTAATTCTAGTCTCTAGTGAAGAGAAGATTGATCTTATCGACAAAAAGCTCAGTCGACTGAATCGTCTTGTCGAATCGCTTATCACAGACAATTCAATGGGATCGATGGTCATCTCTCCCAATCACCAGGATAATTTGAATTCTGTATTAGCATCGCACAATATGCCATCACGAAGCATGCCTGTGAGCTCACCTACCTCGGAGGTACTCACTATAAATGCTCAATCATCCAACAATCGAGTCGCGGCGCCTCCAAATGAAATCACAAATCAAGTAACGTTAAGTGAAGGGCAGTCTTCATTAAAAGCTCATTCAGCATTTGCTATTGATTTTGCACACTACGTCGTCGGCTCGAGTCAACCGCTAGGACAAAATAACCATGAAATTAGCAAATTACTAGATACGCTACACCACATAAAAAATGCATCCGACGACCACCGTTTTTCGTCAAAGCCTTTGTTCCCCTTGATACATACGACAGCCTCCCCCGATCATGGGAAGTATGATATGCCCCCACTGAGAGCCGCTGTCCGACTCTTGCGAGAAGCCGAAGGTACCCCTCACAACTATTTGTATATCTCCGTATACTGATTGCTTGTGTACAGACAAAAAAAGTTTTATATTTCGTGTGTTATGCTATTTTCTGAGCCCACGAAGTCTATCGGATCTATGTTTGAAGGTTTACTTTTCTTCTGATTACTCCAATGCAGAGTTTATCATTGTGAACGCAACTTTAAATTGTGAGCACGTCGATTTCTCGACGACATAAAAGTCAAACTAATATAATATATAGGTCTGGCCTCTGACAGAGTTATCGGGGAGAATGACACTGAGGCTTACGATGAGCACAATAAACTGGTCTTCATGTGTCAAACGAACCTGGAGATGGCGCTTTCAAAGCTTACTCTCTATGTGAAACCTAGCTACGAAATGGTTCTGGCTCTTATTCTAGGTGTATGTCGTCACCTGCCATCCCGGAGTTTCTCTTTGTGCTAACATAGAGCTCTAGATTGTCTACGCCATCAATGTATCCAATGCGTCCCTAGCCTGGGTCTTGGTGGGGACAGCGTATCAATGCTCACATTCCCTTGGATTCCACACTCACTCGGATAGTTCAGTCGATTCTTCACATGAGTTAGATCGAGATCGCAGGCGGTTGCTCTTTTGGGCAGTTTATTTCTTTGAGAAGAATTTATCTGTCCGACTCGGGCGTTCTTCTATTATAATGAACTACGATATTACAGCTCTTTCGCTCGAAGGTCTAGGAATGCCGGAGTGCCACGAAATTTGCTATGCCTACCAGATGGTAAATCTGGCTGGCTTGGCTGGCAGGATTTACGAGCAGCTTTACTCGGCAGATGCCCTTCATGTCACGGAAGATACCCGGACCCATCGAGCACTAGAACTATCGCAGGAACTCCATGGATATTGTGCAGAGGCGCATGACACAAATGTTTGCCCACCTGTTCTTGTTTATTTTCGGCGGGAGACGTTAACTAATGAATTTAACAATGTAGCAACTCTGGATTCAATCAAGTGGGGACGAATATGAACGAGAGCAGATCCACTTGATCTCTGCATCTGACGAAGTTCTACGTCTTTCAATGTTGACACTGATCTACCGAGCTATGCCCCCAGAGCCTAATTCCGGGACAACCTTCGGCCTAGATTGCATTACCTCTGCTAGATGTGCCCTTGAATCCCATCAAGCATTTATCCGTGGCTTTGGAAAGCAAGCTTCGTCTTTACTACTTTCAGAGTATATCAGCTGGTATGTGTGGATGGAACTTAGGCTTGAGTAATGTCAGTATTTTTGTACTTTGTACTGATGTTTGTGCTTTTAGGACCATTTTGTTCACGCCATTTGTTCCTTTCATTGTTATGTTCTGTCATACAATCGAAAAAAGGGACAAGGGAGATTTGAGTCGAATGTACGCCTTCCTCAAATCTATCGAGTGTGCCTGCCAACATTCCAATGCAATTGCCAAATACCATCATCTCTTTGGGGTATTGTATAGCGTAGCGTTACGCTACACCGAACTAGGATTACCCTCCTCCCGGATGGAAGAGGAGCAATCACAACTCCTTGAGGTGGACGCACATTTGAGCGCTCTTGGGCTACAGCCGCACACGACATATTTAACAGCCCACCACACAGAGGACGTCGATAGTTTGATGTCATCAGTCCAGCCGAGCGTGGAAGCCATTGAGCAGAATCGAACTACAGAAGGAAACAACTGGGCAGAAGAACCGTGGCTTGGACGCTGGTTTTCTTTCAATCAGCAAATGATGGGCTTATTCGATGATAACGAGTTACCATTTTGAGCATATATATTTTCCATCTTTTCAATTCAAAAGATATTGGATTTTTGCAGTATCGTGTAACTTCAACATATTGTCTCTATGTAATTGCTAATAGTCTGTTGTGGGGTATTCTATATCTCATGGCGGTAGGAAGTGTTTGGCCAAACCTAGGGCAAAATTGGCTACCATACAAACCTCGGCTTCCACAAAATCGGATTTTTGAGCTATTGATCAATATCCTACAGTCTTCTACTTTTCGGATCTTCATAGCTTTAGCTCTTAGCACTCTTCTGTATGAAGCCGTTCGTACACCACGAGCCCGCCTCGGATTTCCTCTATTCGGTATCAACACCAAGGATGGTCATTCCCGCAGGTCCAATTAACATGATGTTGACTTTTTATGTGAACTTGATTGGTCAATAATTGGATTTATTTAGGCTGTCACATGACCAGCATCACAACGCCCGTCTCTCTTTGGCAAACAGCCACACCTTGAATCTCTCAACTTGGACGATATCTAATATATAGAAGGCGAGGATTTACCATGGATGCGGGAAACATGTCTTCACAACAGCAACGTCAACAGCAGCTAATTCTAATGGCACGCCGACGTCGGATGCAGATGATAACCGCTAAGCGGCAACCAAACACTAGCAGAGCTAGTGGCACTCTTTCAGGACAGCAAATGCAGCCTCAGTCAGGGACAATGGGGTCCAAATATGACGACCTGCCAATTCTGGAGCCCGGTGATATTATCTTCATCGGTGAAAATCCTAAGGGGGTTGGCCTAGTTCCCGCCTTCTTCGGGCCCTTCGAATCCGCCTGTCAGCACGGGCCCCTCTCAATCATTCAGTCCATTGTCTCATCTAAAAATCTCACTCCTGCTTTTCTTCACCATGGTCTTACACGTGCCCTACGCTCTGGTAATATTGAGGTTGTTCGTTATCTCCTCGCTAGTGGCGCTCCAATTGTTCGCGAAACTCCAAGCAATATCTTCTTCGTAACTTTGGAACAGCAAATTGCCCTCTTTGAGCTCTTGACCCAGCACGGATGGACTCCCAACACCCCAGGTTACTATGGTAGCACTCTTCTCCCTCGGACTATCAACAGCCTCCCTCTTCTTCGTTGGTTCATCGACCATGGAGCCAATCCCAACCTTGGTGTGCAGAGAACCACTCATGACAGGCGTGGTGGGCCAGATACTTCCTCATGTGCTGCACTCGAGGCAGCCGCAGTTCGTGGAGAGGTTGAGGCTGTGCGTATGATTCTAGATGCAGGTGCTAAGATCCAAAACGGTGTGCCGCTACACTATGCTGCCGGGGCTCGTCCTCCCGGTGCGAATCCGCATACTGGGCGCGTGGTACCGAGCCGAGAATTTGATGCCGACAGGATTCCAGTAATGGCACTATTGGTTGATCGTGGGGCTGATGTTAATCAGAGAGAAGAGTCGCGACATATGGTCCCACAGTACGCGATTGTGCATGCGGTTATGGCAGGAGCAGTTGAGCGGGTGAAGTGGTTGTTAGAGCATGGGGCAGATCCATATATAAGAGGAAGCTGGGGTAGTGCAGCTGAATATGCACGTACTTCAGGGAACGAAGAGATAATTAAGGTCATTGAGGAACTTGCGGCGGAAAATTATTGAAACCCGGAAATAATATATACCACCAATGAGTAAAATATATTGTGCTATATATTGTGCTATAAACCATTTGTTTATTTGTCTATTTGTCGAAGAAAAATACATGAAATCATTCTAAATTATCCTGTATACAATATAGAATAAACATATCGATATTGATTTAATTAGTGACCAGTGTGATAAACAGTCTTAGAGGCCATCAGCCTTCCAAAGTCGGAATACAAACCCGATAAGCCGAAATAGCCGCATCGGTCTTAGTGCGCTTATCCCCGAGGATTACGTCGTTCCAGGTCACGTGAAAATGTCTTGGAAAAACCCGTATTCGGGATTGAGACTCTGGAGGCGATAGGAAGAGATACCTACATAGACAGTTAATTTATGTTACGCAAATTTCATGCAAGAACTGCGGACAACCCTGCTTCCATCCATGGATATGTACATGTATGATATAATAAGTCGGACTTCATATGGAAGAATGAGCATGTCATGCTTGTAAGCAGCCGCGAACTCGGGATTTCTCCATTGTAAAGTGGAGCCGCCCGTGCTTGCTTTTGTAAGCAGCCTAGCACTTGCACCAACCCCCGTTCTCTCTTCGAGGTTGTTCTCCGACGTATCTTTTCTTGCTTGTGTGCATAGAAAGGCATACTGGGACGAAGTCATTAAGAAAAATGCTGGATGGCCAATCCCAGGTGGTCCTAGAGGCGTCCCGCCCGGGGCACCTCTTGCATTCCCTTGGATCGGCACTTGATTCTCGGCGACAGCCTTTCTGTACAGATAGCGAGGGCTGGGGCCCTGTCAGCTCATTGAGATTCGATCTGACGCCATGCTTCCTTGACGCAGTTGTGGCAGTAGTGGCAGTCTGGGGTACGCTGAGCGGACTGGGTGCTTTGTGGTTGTTACTGAGGAAGCGAATTCCACAGCCTGTATCGAAGAATTGGCACTTCTACACCAAGCTGGTTAGTACATGCCGGACACCCTCGCACACCCATGGACACCATTTATAATGTATTAACCGGTATTTTGGTCATAATAGGCCGTTCTCGCCGCTCTTATTGTCGTTACCACCCTCCAAGCTGCGATCCAAGTCGAATCAGACCCCAAACGCTTCTGGGCCGATTTCCGCTTTTGGTCCTCCGTCCTGACCATCATTTCACTAGGAGTGATAACCTCAGTGCAATATCTAGAACATTGGCGGAGTAGACAGCCCAATGGGGTTGTCCTATTTTACTGGCTTTTCTTCATCATCGCATACGCCGTCAAACTCCGGTCCTTGATTTCGCGGAAGGGATACATCGACCAACTACCTTACTTTGTCTGCTTCAATGTCAGCTTGGGACTAGCACTTTTTGAATTTGTGCTAGAATATTTTGTCCCCAAGAAGCAAAGTGCGTACGATGCGCTGGGAGACGAGGATGAGTGTCCGTACAATTACGCCGATGTTTTCTCGGTTCTCACCTTCGGTTGGATGACCCCGATGATGAAATACGGATACAAAAACTACCTGACCCAAGATGACCTCTGGAATCTCCGCAGTCGCGATACCACCCGAGCCACGGGCAATGCCCTGAAGAAGGCATGGGATGAACAGCTCGAAAAAAAGAAGCCATCTCTGTGGGCAGCGCTCTTCAAGGCTTTCGGTGCCCCCTATGTGCGTGGTGCGATAATTAAATCCGGAAGCGATACTCTTGCCTTTGTGCAACCGCAACTCCTACGACTTCTCATTGCCTTCATTGACTCGTACCGAGGCCCGGACCCGCAGCCTGTTATCAGGGGTGTCGCCATCGCCTTGTCCATGTTTGTTGTTTCTGTCTGCCAGACCAGCTTCCTCCATCAATACTTCCAGCGCGCTTTCGACACTGGCATGAGAGTCAAATCAGCCTTGACTGCTATGATTTATGCCAAGTCCCTGAAACTATCGAACGAAGGGCGCTCGGCAAAGACGACCGGTGATATTGTCAACCACATGGCAGTTGATCAGCAGCGCCTTGCAGACTTGACCCAGTTCGGCACTCAGCTTATCTCTGCGCCTTTCCAAATCACCCTGTGCATGGTTTCCCTTTACCAACTTCTCGGAGCGAGCATGTTTGCCGGTATTGGAGTTATGATTCTCATGATTCCTCTGAATGGTATCATTGCTCGAATGATGAAGAAGTTGCAGATCATTCAAATGAAGAACAAGGACTCGAGGACTCGATTGATGACTGAGATCCTGAACAACATCAAGAGTATCAAGCTCTACGCCTGGAACACGGCTTTCATGAACAAACTCAGCCATATCAGAAACGACCTCGAGCTGAACACGCTCCGCAAAATCGGAGCCACTCAATCTATTGCCAACTTCACTTGGCAGTCTACCCCTTTCCTCGTATCCTGCTCCACATTCACTGTCTTTGTGTTGACGAATGATAAACCCCTGACTACCGAGATTGTGTTCCCCGCCTTGACGTTGTTCAACTTGCTCACATTCCCGCTTTCTATCTTGCCTATGGTGATCACATCCATTATCGAATCTTCTGTGGCCGTGACGCGATTGGTAGAATATTTCACCGCGGAGGAGCTACAGACAGATGCCGTTGTCCTCCAAGATCCTGTGGCGCACCCCGGTGACGAGTCTGTCCGTGTTCGTGATGCCTCGTTTACTTGGAACCGTCATAGTGGGGAGACTGTGCTGGAAAACATCGATCTCAGCGCACGCAAGGGAGAGCTCACCTGTATTGTTGGCCGAGTTGGCGCTGGAAAATCTTCTCTTCTCCAGTCATTGCTAGGTGATCTGTGGAAGAACCAGGGTGAGGTGGTCGTGCGTGGTCGGATCGCGTACGTTGCCCAAGCGCCGTGGGTTATGAATGCTAGTGTCCGAGAAAACATCGTATTTGGACACCGATGGGACCCCTCATTCTATGACCTTACAGTTGAAGCCTGTGCTTTGGTCGCTGACTTCAAGAATTTGCCTGATGGTGACCAGACCGAAGTCGGAGAACGTGGCATTTCCCTTTCTGGAGGACAAAAGGCACGGTTGACGCTCGCCAGAGCTGTTTATGCGCGTGCTGATATCTATCTTTTGGATGACATTCTCTCGGCAGTTGACCAGCATGTTGGACGTCACATCATCAACAGAGTGCTTGGCAAAACTGGTATCCTCAGTGGCAAGACCAGAATTCTTGCGACAAATGCCATCACTGTACTCAAGGAGGCTGACTTCATCGGCCTGCTACGGGATAAGACCATCATCGAGGAAGGAACCTATGAACAACTGATGGCCATGAAGGGGGAGATTTCTAATCTCGTTCGCTCTACAATGGTTGACTCAGACGATGAAGGTACTGTTAGTGGCTCTGAAGACCTTGCTAGCCCAGAAAGCTCAGTCACAACCACCATCATC